ATAGGGGCCGTCAGGATGCTGGTCTGCATCTTGGGGCCTACCCCCTGATGGCCTGACTGATGCCACCATACACGGGCCGACTGGACCGCAGCCAGGCCACCTTTAACACCCACCTGGATCAGGCCCGCAACCCCGTGGAGTGTGCCTTTGGCCATCTGAAGGCACGCTTATGGTGCCTCCTGACCTGTCTGGACTTGGGGGTGCAGCACATACCAGAGGTCATTGCAGCGTGGTGTGCTGCATAACATTATTGAGGGGAAAGGGAAGGCCTTCCTCCCAGGATGGATGGCAGGTGAGGGCCAGGCCTACCAGCAGTCCCAGATGGCTGCCACCCGGCAAGCCAACCGTGACGGGGTGCAGATCCGGGAAGCCCTCCAGGTGATGCTGGGCCAGGTCCCACAGTAGGCTGTGCCAACACCTCGGACTGCAGGCTGCCCCCATGCCCCCACTTCCCACTCCCATCACCACCCCGTCCCGCCACCCTTCCCTCACCTCCCAATAAATAACATGCACTTAGTTAACATATAAATTAACTTTTATTTACAAGGGAAAGGGGATGGACTGTGGGGATGGGGAAGGAAGGGGTTCTGAACTGGGAAGGCCTCATGGGTGTGAGGGGAGGTCTCTCCCATCCCCACGGGTGCAGGAGCGCCTGTGCCCCTTGTGCTGGGTCAGGGCAGGCTGCACCATGAGGTGCCGAGGTTGGGGGGGGCCACAGGACGGGGCATGGGCACGGCAAGGGGGGCCGCAGGATGGGGCACAGAAGGGGGAAAAGCGGGGGGAGGGCTGGGCATGGTGGGGGGAAGGGAAGGAGGGGCCTGGACACTCTGTGCTGCAGCGCAGGACCCATGCACTCTGCGATTGTGCCCAGGAGTGCATACAGGCGGTCACATTGCTCTGTATATTGGCTCTACAACCTCTCTCACCACGCCGCGTCTGCGTGTATCTTGGTGCTGAGGGAGCGTTCCATGCGCTCAATGGCGCAGACGTGGCGGCGGAGCAGGTGGTGGCGGTCCCGGGAGCGCTGCGATGGGCCCTGGATCCTTTGCGCCGGCGGGATGGGGCTGGAAGGTCCCTCGCTGCCAGGGGGTCCCACTGCAGGAGAAGCAGAGGAGAGCAACATGGTCAGTGAGCCCTGCCCCAAATGGTGTTCCAGAGCCCCGTGCCCTCCTCCCAGCACGTCACGATGCCTGGGGACAGGTGTGGCTGGTGAGGGGGAATTACCCTGGGGCAGCGTGAGGGGGGTCCCAAGGTGGCCCAGGAGCCCCCAGGGGGGCTGCATGTGCTTGGGGGAGCCTGTTGTGCCTTCCCCAGGGGAAGCTACAGTGTCCCAGGGGTGACCATGGATGTGTGCTGTGTGCAGCACCCTTTAGGCTGTGTGGGGTCAGGCCTGCAACCTTGGGGTGGCCTACTCCTGGTCAAACCCAACTGCCCCTCCCCCAGTCTGGTCGAGCGGAATCCCCGGGGTCCCAGGCGTGTGCTGGGGCGAGCTGCCACTTCTCTGTGCCACTCGGTCTGGCTGCACGTAGGATTGTCGGATGGTTTCAATAAAAATACCGGACACACTTGACGTTACATGACAGTCTACATTACACCTTAGTTAGAAAATCCCAGACATGTATATTTTCTCATTTATATCCCCTCAATTTGTTTCCCAAACAGAAAGCTCAAAGACTGGACTGTCCAGTTCAAAACTGGACACCTGGCAACCCTGGCTGCACAAGGTTGCACGTGCTGCATGCCTCTGCGCAGCATGTGGCCAGGCTGTGCCATGTGCCGCTACCTCTCCCCCATCCTGTGGCCCTCCCTCCCCACCTTCTCCAGCACACTTGCGAATGGGAGCCACCGCATTCACCGGACAATCCGTTGCCGGCTTTGGAGGATGCCCGGGACACGACTGTGCAGACGGTGGTAGTGGGGGCAAGCAGTGGGTCCACCACCCCCACTCTCGCTGGCCTGCACATACAGGAGCTGCAGGTCTTTGACCTTGGCCCAGACCTGTTCAAGGGTTCGGGCTGGGTGGCCCTGTGCGGCCAGTGCCTGAGCCATCCGGGCGAAGATGTTGGCATTCCACCACCTGAACCCGGAGTTCCGAAGGGCCTCCTTTGCCCCAGAGGTCCAGAAGGGCCTGGACCTCGGCGGTCCCCCAGCCTGGAGCCCACCGACAGGAGCTGCAGGTCTTTGACCTTGGCCCAGACCTGTTCAAGGGTTCGGGCTGGGTGGCCCTGTGCGGCCAGTGCCTGAGCCATCCGGGCGAAGATGTTGGCATTCCACCACCTGAACCCGGAGTTCCGAAGGGCCTCCTTTGCCCCAGAGGTCCAGAAGGGCCTGGACCTCGGCGGTCCCCCAGCCTGGAGCCCACCGCTTGGTGCCCCTGTGGGCCTGCTGGGTGCTCTGGGGTGGCTCCTGGGTGGGGCCTGAGGGACCTGCCTGTGGCTGAGCTGCTGCCATTGCTCCCTCTGGCAGCTCCCAGGGCTGCACATGGCACGCGGCTCCGCTGGCTGCCTGTGCCTTTAAGGGGAGGCCAGCTGGGTGGAACCAGCGAGTGTTGATTGTGTGTACGGAGTGTCGGAGAGGCCACCTGTGTTGTTTTCCCGGAGGCCAGTTCTTGCACAAGAAGCTTTCGCCGCGCGTCCACACTACCCTCTTGTGCAAGAGAGCTTATACCTGTTAGAAAAGAGCATAGCTCTTGCGCAAGAAGCCCTCTCTTACCACGTTGTACTGTAAATTTCCTTGTGCAAGAGTGGGTGAGCAGTGTGGACACTCTAAAGATTCTTGTGCAAAAACAGCCATACTTTCGCAAGAAGCCGCGAGTGTAGACATAGCCTACGACAATGACAACTGGAAACATTCCCTCCACTCCCAGTCTTGCTGCCTTTCCTTGACCACTTCCCCAAAAGTTCCCTCTCAGTACCTTCTCCCTAGTATCTAAGAAATCTTTCCTGATCTTCCACAGTCTTCTTCCACACTCGCAGTCCCTAGCTTCCTCAGTGCACCTCTTCATTGCCAGTCCCTGGCCTTCTCCTCGGACCTTCCTGAGAGGAAGCCTTTTAAACTGGCTCCAGCAGGCCTTAAATGGCTGCAGGTGCCCTGATTAACCTGCTGCTTCAGGAAATCTCTTAATTGGCCACAGGTGCCTGCTTACCTTGATTACATGGCAGCAGTGCCTAGCCAGTTCACTCAGAGAACAGAAACTATTGACCCAGTTTCCTGTATATTTACCCTCCACCAAGCTACTGTAGCCAGCTGCCCTTGGTCTGTCTCACACCTTATAGACTAACAGATTTATTAGGGCATAAGGTTTCCTGGGTAAGACCCACTTCATCAGATGAATTAGAGTAGAGCAAATTTCCATATGTACCTTTTGAATAATAATACTGCAGTTGTAACCCTGATTTATTTCATCCTTTGATTGCTATTCCATATATCTTAATAAAGTTTTAAATAATTTTTCTCAGTCTGAGCATGCTCTCATATCCCTGAGGGTTCTTCACATACTGTGTGTAGCCTGATTTTGGGACAAGACCCTTGTTATCTTTTGATCATATTAAATGGAAGGCCTGTAACCCTCACTATTCAAGTTAATACTGTTAACCTCCTAAATCAGGCAACACTAAAAAAGCTTAACTTAACTTGACTGCTGGTGTGCAGAGATCACTCTTTAATACCGGCCTGTACTGTTTACTGGTATTTCCCGGTTGCTCACTCTGGCTACGTCTGGATTGCATCCCTCTGTTGTCAGAGGGATGCAAATGAAGCATGTCGAAATTGCTAATGAAGCGGTGATTTAAATATCCTGCACTTCATTAGCATAAACAAGGCTGCCACTTTTTTTTCCCCGAAATGGAGCTTTTTTGAAAAAAAATGGCAGTATAGACGAGGATCTGTCGAAAAATAAATCCTTTTTCCACAGATTCTGTATTCCTCAAAAAATGAGGTTTACAGGATCTGTCGAAAAAGGGTTTATTTTTCGATAGATCCGCATCTAGACTGCCTTTTTTAAAAAAAAAAAAAAAAATTCGGAAAAAAGCGGCAGCCATGTTTATACTAATGAAGCGCGGGATATTTAAATCCCTGCTTCATTAGCAATTTTGACGTGCCTAATCTACATCTCTCTGTCGACACAGAGGTGTAGTCTAGTCACACCCTCTATATCTATATATGTTTATCCAGCGCCTAACACAATGAGATTCTGGTACATGAGTAGGGCTGCTATGTACCACAAATAATATAAAGAAATAACTTCAGCGCTGACACACAGAGACAGTGACTTGCTATCCTGCAATGCTAGTGGTCAGAATCTGTAAAAATCTCTCTCCTCAGCCCTCTTCCCCCTCTGTTTGGGCTCTAAGACATACATGAATAAATATTTAAATCAATAATTTCAGGATTTAACTCATCTTACCCAATCCTAAGAATAACCTTTTATTCCATTGATTTTTTATTTAATTTGATTTTCTTTAATTTGTCTAGTGATCTTTATTTTATTAAAATTAATTTGACTTTAGACTCACAGGGGTAAAAGTAACAGGGGTAATTCAAGCAGATCAAATAAATAAATAAATAAATAAATAATTGTTGTTAGGAGAGAAGAAACACAAAAATTATCTAAGTCTAGAACACTGAAATCCAAAGAGGGGCCAGAGTGCCTGTTTCAGCAAGCTGCAGCCAGAAAGGGAAGAGAAAGCCTGGTGACCATGAGGTGCAACAAGAAAAGGAGATTGAAGGTTCCATAAACACAGAATTATCACATTTAATTCATACTAACATTACGGTAGTCTCAAACAAGCTTCACTCCTATTTTAAGGTTGTTAGAAAAAATATTATGCTGATTTTAATGAAATTAGGTAAAAAATTCACTTTTGAAAGTTAGTAGCCATATATTTGAGAATCCTTAGAAAATGTTGATATACGTGATAATCAAACCAAAATACAACTAATCTGACACTTGCTATATAGCATGCTCAGCCACATCATAACTTACAAGTAACTTTTCTTACCACAGCATTGCTTGAGCTTTCTTGCAAATCCCACAATAGTAAGTGGTTATCAGCCAGTGAAATGAGCTTTTTACCATCTCCCATTGGCTCCCATATAACACTGTAAAACAAACATATAATATGAATAAAACACATGAAAAAAACAACAACAAAACAATCAAGTCATGCAATTGTCGGCCATTTTAATTCTGTGGCGCTAAATCTGTCCGCAAACACAATGATGAAACTCCCATAATTTTCAACATCAATTAGTCTATTTTATCTGAAGAGCAGAATTAGACCATCTTTGTCAGTATGTAGTTAATTACTTTAAAAAAAACCCTCAACAACATTAATGTATTTTTATAGTGCTAAAGAAAAGCACTCAAAAGTGAGGAAATGCCAGAGTTAAAGTAGCTCCTACAACCTTAATTTGCCTCTACTGCAGTTCATATACATAAGAGCCCTGCTTCAATATCACATATAAAGTCTGTGGCACAGGAAAGAAGAAGTGCTGTTCAGTTATCACTCACAGTCAACGAGTCAGACAGAGGTTTGCTCCATTCACTGTCTGAGCTCTAACTAGGGGTGTTAAATATCAGTTAATTGAGTAGTCAACTAATCTCATGAATTCTTATTGGTTGCTTGACTATTCTACAGGGGTGGGGGCGGCAGCCAGTGTACTCCGGCCTCACTCATGAGGAGTCCCCTGCCACTTCACACTTCTGCCTTTGTATCAGAGTGTGATGGATAGGAGGAGTGCTGGCCCACACCTACTAACTAAGGGGTTAAACTCAGGTAGCTATCAAGGGGGTTGGCAGAATGCCAGAAGAACCAACAGAAATAAAGTGCTCAAATTTGAATTGTATAAGGCTTTTTTTGTAGGGGAAGAGTTAAACCAGGAGTTGAGAGACACAGAATGATTTAAACCCAAACAGGACTACCATGACTCCAAGGAATTTGGGACATGGGAGTGAACTGAACAAAGAGTGGATCGTGAGTAAATAAAGGGAAAAAGTGAATCTAGTTGTGATCAGGGAATTTCTTTATTTTGTGGTTTGGTTTGAACTGCTCTGTGTGAATCTATGCTGCCTCTCCTCATTTACTATCCAAGAACTGTTCCAGAGATTTTCTCTGTGTATTAATTTGTTTTCCTTAGTTGTTCTGTAACATCTAGCAACCAAGTATGCTTTATCAAGTATATCTTTTATTTTACAATAAAATCACTTTTTTATGGCAATGATTTGATTCTTGTGTCCTGGAAATTACAGGAAGTCTGTTTGTCTGTATGTGTGTCTGCATGCCTCAGACTAAGAGGTCAGCTACCAGAGACTGCAGCTTTAAGACAAGGAAAACCGTCATGCTCTGTTGTCTCCTTACTTCCCTGCTCTGCAGAGATGGGGTATGGGAGGAAGTGTGTGGGTCTGAGAGAGACCCCCTAACATCCCTAATCTCCAGAGAAACAAGACGGGAGAGGCAATATCTTTTATTGGATCAACTTCTGCTGATTAAAGAGCCATGCTTCTGAACTACTCAGAACTCTTCTCCAGGTTTCTCTAACATCCTGGGTCCAACATGGCTTCAACAACAACAAACTTGGCATCTACATTACATAATGGACATGTCATTCCATATAGTTCTGTTCCATAAGACATGTGTTAGTTCTTTGAAAAGATTAAAAGCACTTTATAAACAATAAAAGGATAAAATGTTAATGCACTATAACTGATATCTGATTAAATTCATTCCTGACTTTCTACAACCAAAATTAAACAAACAGACTACAGGTTGGACCTGACTGGTCCCACATCAGGGAATTTGCTGGACCAGGGAAGGTTCTCTGCCACAGTCCCTCTGTCCTGGACTCTCAGCACTGTCAGCTCCAGGAGCCCCTTATTACTCCCAGACCCGAGCAGCCCTGCTGCTGCTACCTTGGCTGGAGGCTGTCTGCAGACTCCAGCAGCCCACACTGTCCATGGGCTGCCACAGCCTCCAGCTCCACACTACACTGCTGTGGGTCCAATCCTGGCCCCAGTGCAGCAGGCTGCTAGGGACTGCTGCTGGCTCCCGCCCTGGTCACACTACCATGGGCTGGTGGGAACTGGCTCTGGTTCCCATCCCACTGCTGCTGGCTCCTGGGGGCTATCAAAGGCTCTGGCTTAGCAGCAGCCGGCAAACTCTGGCCCCATGCCACCACTGACTACTGGGTCTGCCGCCAGCTCCGACTCCTGTTCTGCTGCCATAGGTTGCTGAGGGCTTGACCTCCTGCGCTATGGCAGGCCGCCGACTCTGGGCCCGCTCCCACTGGCTCGGCCGG